GACCATCTTATTTGTCTCTTGAGAAACCTATATGCGGGTCAAGAAGCAACAGTGAGAACTGGACACGGAACCACTGATTGGTTCAAAATTGGAAAAGGAGTCCGGCAAGGCTGTATACTGTCGCCCTGCCTATTTAACTTATATGCAGAGCACATCATGAGAAAGGCAGGGCTAGATGAATCAAAAGTTGGAATTAAGATTGCCGGGAGAAATATCAACAACCTAAGATATGCAGATGATACCACTCTAATGGCAGAAAGTGAAGAGGAACTAAAGAGCCTCTTGATGCGGGTGAAGAAGGAGAGTGCAAAAGTTGGCTTGAAACTCAACATTAAGAAAACCAAAATCATGGCATCCGGCCCTCTCAATTCCTGGCAAATAGATGGGGAAGAAATGGAGGTAGTGACAGATTTTATTTTTCTGGGCTCCAAGATCACCTCAGATGGGGACTGCAGCCAAGAAATTAAAAGACGCTTGCTCCTGGGGAGGAAAGCTATGGCAAATCTAGACAGCATACTAAAAAGCAGAGACATCACCCTGCCAACAAAAGTGCGTATAGTCCAGGCCATGGTTTTCCCAGTTGCAATGTATGGCTGTGAAAGTTGGACCATAAGAAAGGCTGAGCGCCAAAGAATTGAGGCCTTTGAACTATGGTGCTGGAGAAGACTCCTGCGAGTCCCTTGGACTGCAAGGCGTTCAAACCGGTCAGTCCTAGAAGAGATCAACCCCGACTGCTCTTTAGAAGGCCAGATCCTGAAGTTGAAACTCAAATACTCTGGCCACCTAATGAGAAGGAAGGACTCACTGGAGAAGGGCCTAATGCTGGGAAAGATTGAGGGCAATAGAAGAAGGGGACGACAGAGAATGAGATGGCTGGATGGAGTCGCTGAAGCAACTTAAATGGACTCCAGAAGATGGTAGAGGACAGGAAGACTTGGAGGAACATTGTCCATGGGGTCGCGATGGGTCGGACATGACTTCGCAATTAACAACAACAAATTCTTTCTTCAAGAGTACTGTAAAAACAGAAACAATAGAAAAGAAAGCACTAACATGATTTACAAGACACATGTAACAATGGTTTAAAAATACATAAAATATTATGTATGTTCTAACTAATTCAGGATAGTCTGAATGAATGTTCTGTTTATTTTGTTTAAGTAGGGCAGAAAAGAAGGTTGCTGTAATAAGCCCTAAATAATAATATAGTACAATGAAAATGATACTCCTAAAGCACGTTGTATATATTGTCTCTAATGTAAATGAAAACAGAAAGGACTCCTAAGTACAAAATAAATTGTTGTTTACCTTCTGAATACTTGTAAACCAGTCAGCTGGCCTGCTGTGTGAAACTGAATGTAATGAAGATGAGAACACCTGTGGTAATTTATAATGCTAGAAAAATATTGAGGACTATGACAGCAACAGTCTTAGACATCTTTGAATTTGTTTGTATTTCTTAAAATATGTTTCACTATAGTGGCCCTGATTCTTTGTTTTCTTACATTGCCTAATAATTTCAGTTATAATCTTGTATTTTTGCCCACATAAACCTTAGGACAAAGGCACTATATGGTATATACCATCTGAACACCAATGCCCATAATGGAACTTTGCAAAGATTCTCTATACCTCTAAAGAATTAATGAAATTAATGAAAGAAGTTGTTTTATGTCTGCAAGGAAAGAAAGGAATAATTCCATTATAAATATGTTCATTAACATCGATCCCTTATATTAAATCATTTCTAATTCATGTCTTTGAGAATCCTTGTCCTCTTATAGGCAAAGCAAGGGATTGACTCGTAGCCTGGAAGGTTCTTAAGTAACTCCAGGTCAAAGTGCATGTCATCCAATCATTCTCTGTATTTTAGGAGCCATGTGGTGCAGTGATTAAACAGGGGTCCCCAACCTTTCTGGGTTGGCGGACTGGGGCGGGGGGTGGAGGCACAGATGAATGGTCTGAGATTGTATGCATGATGCAAATGGGGCCATGAGTGCCCAGGCGATGCTAGTGACTGGGCAATGCTGCTATGCTAGCATGAGTGTGTGCTCGCAGCAATGCTACTGCCCACACAACGCTCGCGGCATCACTAGCACCAGCACAATGCCATGATGCTAAGCGCGAATGGGCATGCACACACGCATACACTGGCCAGCATGTGGCCCAGTGGCCAACAGCCCATGGCCCAGTAGTGGGCCACAGCCCACAAGTTGGGGACCTCTGTGTTAGAATGCAGTATTACAGGCTAATTCTGCCCACAGCCAGGAGTTTGGTTTGACCAGTTCAAGATTGACTCAGCCTTCCATACTTCCAAAGTAGATAAAGTGCTATTGTAAAATAATGCTCCTCTAATTGTCTCATCCCTTTTCCAAAATTAGTTTCCATTGCTGATCTGATTCTTTCTAAGAATCATTCTTAGTGTTCAAGTGGTGCTCTAAATGTTTTGGGATTCCACTCAAAACATCTATTATTATTGGAACTGTATTTGCTTTCTTTTGCCATAGTCATTCTACTTATCTTGACAGGTTTTGTATTTTGTTATTTTCTCTGAGTTTTTCTCTTTTTTCTTTTGCTGTCTTTGGGTTCTGGAACTTCCAATAGCCAGACTTTTTTGTCTTTCTTATCAACAATTGTTTTAGTCTGGGGCGTTGTGTGACAGCTGCTTGTCTGTTTGAATTCTAAAGTCACACAGCACTTTAGTATCTTCATTTTCTATCACTTTGTCTATTTTGTAGTTCCTACCCATTCTTGCTTGCAGACAAGTGGTATTTCTTGCAGATATTCAATGCACTACTATTGTTACTTTGTCATGCCATTGTTTGTAATCAGTCTTTTTGCAGCAGATAACTAGTTGATCTACTATTTCTTCAGCTTCTTTGCAGAAATGACATTTGCTGTTGCTTTTTCTCAGTTCTGGTTTTGTATGCATTTATTCTTAAGGTCTGGTCTTGTGCAGCCAGAATTACCCGCTCTATATTTTTCTTCAATTTCCTGCTCTTAGCCGTTGTCAGGCCTTCTGGTTTTCTGATTGGCCTGCTATTTTTTCTTTTATGTAGTGGCCATATAAAACTTTGCCTTGCCATGTCTCTTTTCTGTTCTTCATTTAGTCTTTGATGTAGATCAGTTTGGTCTCTCCAGTAGTCAGTAAGCCTTCATGGTATTCTAGCTTCAGTGCATCTTCTTCACTCTCCTTCAGATATTTTTCCAGTACCTTTTTTTCTTCTTCAATAGTTTGGTGTACTTGCAACATTGCCTGCCCACCTATGTTCCTTGGTAAATAGAGTCTGTTAACATCACTGTGCTGATATATTGTCATTTTTTCTGATCTTCCTATCCAGAGGTGGTAGTACAGCTTGAGTTTAGGCCAGTATTCTATCTGTATGTCTAATGACTGTTATTTCCCAGGTTATAATAAACTATTGTAATAATGATAATATATGCATTATATAAGATGTAATATATTTAATTAATATATTACAATAATAAATTATTTTTCTTAAACAATAACTTTTTTTGCAAAAAATCTTATGTATTCCGTAATAATTTAAAGTCTGCAATCTGCATGTTGAAAAGTTCGATTAGAATGGCTTTATTAATTATGTAAATATGTTGTATACTTAGGAAATATTGCACATATTGTATTCTGAATATGTATTACTACTTTCCTGAAATAACTCCAAAATATAATTTTTGGAATTTTCCTAATTAGAATTAAAAATAAAGCTTTGACAATTGTGCACTATAACACATTCTTACAAAGAAAATAATCAAAAATTATATATTTGAGAGAAAAGCCATTACTCTTTTTAAAACTTCTTATTCTTGGAACAAGACTAATAGGAGACTTAATTATATATCATAATTATATATCATAATGGAGAAAGAAAAGATGCCAAGTCATGTATGCTAAGTTATACCTATATATGCAAATTTAAAAGTGAAATTCCAATCTAAACATGTTTAATTGAATTACTCTTCAATTAATTTGCACCCCAGCATGTAAATGAGATCAAACATGTACTTCAATTAACTTTCACTCAGTTAATTATCTGGTTTGTAGCCTGAAAGGAAGAATAGAAGAGAGTTCTTAAAGAAGCAAAAACTTCATTCCTTAAGTTACCATGAATGGTTTTAAAATGAGATAAAGTGATTAGATAGTTGTAGGTCTTTTGAGAGTAGAATGTTTTGATGTTTTTTAATCTGAAAGCCAGCTATTTCTTCAGTCTATGTAAAGCTTCTATATACCCATTCAACTTTCAGATTACACTAGTTCATGTCCTCTTTCAATCCTTCATCCAGTTAGCTCCCAAGTGTACAAATGCTGTTAATAAACATCCAGACATACCACCACACAAACTTGAGTCTGCCAAGTTGTCTGCGACAACCCTAAAATAATAAATTGTCCAGGTTGTCTACTCATAAACAAACAGAATCCCTTGGAAAGTTTGAAATTAAGGAAACATTTAGTGTCAGTAATTAATCAACGTGTATGTCAAATGAGGATGTCAATACAATTATTAATTAAACCTAGGCCTTAAACATAAATAATTAGTTTGTACAGGTTACCTTTTAAAATAAACTGAAGAAATAGTATAATAATGTGAAGACTAAATGGATATTTTTGGGACATTTTGCTTCTCATTCACCATTATGATTGCACTCTAGATTAAAATAGCCATAAAAGATAAATAAGTGTGCTCATAATTCATACTTAACTTATTAATGCATCATTGTTTTTCATTTTACTGCTTTGGTATTTCTTTTTTTCCACGGTCCAACATGGTTGCTAACATTCTGACTTAGATATGTTTCTATATCTTTTAGAATAGACAAATTTTAATGAGCTTTCTATTAACTAACAAGCAGTGGGAAAGGGAGGAAATCTGATTATTTATCTAAGCAACAGTAGACAGCAATTTAAAGCAAATGCATTCCTCAAAGATTAAAAGTAGGAGCAGAGACAGAAATGTGCAGATAATTCAAGTACACATACTTACAGTCACTGATAGCTGGGGTCCATTAAGTTGTGCTTGTAAAATGGCCTCATTGATTGAGTACCGAATACCCAGCAGTGCCAGTTCTAGATCATGAGTTCCAGCCATTTCATTGGTGAGGTATTCCAGGGTATAGATATATTCCCTCCAATGAATGTCCAGCTCAGATACGCTAGCAAAACACCCTCTCATCACATTTAGACAATATCCTTCACAGGGCCTGATGAGAGTCAGGCCTTGGCAGTGAGGACAATACTGCATTTTCACAAGGCCTCGGATACATTCTTTGGTTAAAACAGCATGCTCAGTGGCATTTAGCACTTCAACACCCATTCCCAAGGCCTGGTTGAATGTTCTGCTTGCCCTCAGAGACTTTGCTAGCTCCATAACAGCTTCTTTGGAATAGCGTCCAAATGGATTGATGTCTTGTCGTGTTTGTCGCAGGCATTCCATATATTCTTCTGACAAGTCTGTCATGCCAGGGTTTATCAAGCGGGTATAAACCAAAGGGAAGAGGCTGTCGAAGAACCGGAAAAATGCTTTTTCCACTCTGTTTTGAGCACCCAAGAGGTAGAGAGAGAGGTCTGTAAAAAGTTCTTTCACAGGCTCAGCTGCCTCCTTTGACATGGATCTGTAGACAGTCTCAAAGAGAGAAGCGGTGTGATTCTCAGCAAAACGAAGCAGGGACTCAAAGGCTGCTGCAGAAATACAGTAAAAGTTAAGGAAAAGTCAGTATTTCCTTAATACAGTTCAACAACTTGGATCTAAATATTAGACCAGTACTAATTATTATTCAGTTGCTTTACAAGACAGCTAGGCATTTTTTTTCTACTTCACAAATTGGTGCAGTTGAAATGGGGAAGGGGAATCTCACTGCTTTTATTGGTTTTCAGTGCTGCTTTGTTTGATGCTGACACTGAATCTCTAAACACTAGAGTACCTGGAAAGCCTGCCCTAATTGGGTATCTACAAGATTTCAATTCCCAGAATATGCCAGTCCTGTGTTTTCTGAAGTTATACTGTATATATAGGGATCTTCACTTGGAAAAGCTGGACTACATAGAGACGTCTCCAAAGCTAAATCCATGGTGGAGCAGAGACCATAGTTCACTGAACATTTTTGTTTTCTTTGCAAAGTTCCCAGATTCAGTACCTGGCATCTCCAATTCGGACCAAAAATCTGAAATTTTAGTGAAATGTGGTTCAATGCAATGTACAGCCCTGAATGTTAAAGTGATTCTTCTGTGAATCAGCTTCTTTTGTGAAATATTTTATGAGCAACTGAGAGGAAATAGGGGAGGATTAACTGTCACTCTTCTGACAGACCTTGGCAGATATATAAGAAACATCTAGATTGCAAAGTACCAGCTGAATTAACCCCCAATTAAGACTATGCAACCATTCACACATTTTATATATAAATTATATTGAAGGGGTAAATAAAATAATAGAATATACAACTTATAATGAAGTAATTAAAGTTTCTTTATTAAAAGAACTCATGAACAATTCTTTTTCTCTTCAAATGCACTCAAATTCTTGATACAGAAGATAGAATTTCTTGACTTTTCTAGTTCATAAACACACGTAGGTTGGTAAGGTGCAGATTTTTTATTTCTACCATATTGCTTCATTCCCTTTATCCTATTTAACATTGCTTGCTACAGTTATAACTTTAAACCAGTGCAATATATAGAAAACCTGAGGAGCCCATAGCCATTGGAAGATAACATTATGCTCCATTCAACCTGCTCCACAACCTTAAGATATAATGTGATTTTAGGTTCTGTAAATCTGTGCAATTTACAATTAAAATATGATTCAATGTTTGTTTTCAACCTTTAAAGTATTAAATAGTTTAGGATCTGGCTAAGGAAGTGACCACCATATTAGTATGAACTTGTGTGGTTGTTAAGGTCAACAGCAGAAGCCTTCTTTTAAGATATATCTTTGAGGTCCATTCATTATATACACAAGATAAGGAATTTTCTGCATTTCTAACAAATTAATAGTATTTGATAGCTGCATTAACCTCCATTGCTTCTGCCTTTAGATAAGAGGTCAGGAATGTCTTTCCCAATCATACCTTTGGAGTTACTTAAGGAGAATTTTAGGTATGGTTGATAGGAAGGGAGATAGACAAATAGTAACTTTTTTGTATTTTGCACTATTTACATATGAGTTGCAAGTCTATTAAATCTAAATAAGAAAGCATTTTTGTGTGTTGCCTTTTTCTTATATCTCAGGCATCTTGAAGTGGTCTAAAGGACTTAAAGTAGATGGAGAGTATTAGTCTGATAAAAAGAACAATCAAACCAGTATTATTTTTCAATAGTACAGTCTTACTTCCTTTCCAAACATGAGGCTGACTTGTAGCAATTCTGTTTTACCCAAGCAATTTTTTCCCAGTTCAGGATTCAACAGATATTTTAATTAATTCAGCAATTGATCTTGCAGCCTAGGACTTCATTTTGCATAAACTAATCTAGCAGTTAAAGAAAAAGCTTAGTCAAGAAGCAGATGAACAAATAACTAGCATAAAAGTCCCTTTTTATGACCTATAATTCTTTAATTCAAGGTAGAGTCAGGGAAAACTGGATGGAGCTGAGCATTTACTGGCTGGCTGCCCTTTCTGATGCTATGGGGAATACACAGCAGGTATTTTTTTTCTTTGTGTCCTAGGAGAGAAACATTTGCTGCTACCCAGGATTGAACTCAGAACTTTCTGAGTGGGAGGCGAGTGTCTTCACCATTAGGCCATCATGCCATTCAAACAAATAACTGGAATAAGCCATAGCTATATAGTTTATTGCTGTATAATACAGTTTCTGAAGATGTGTGTGTGTGTGTTACATGTTCAACTTTGAAGCTGACAATTCTATGTGATCATGATATCACAGGATAAGCACTGATTAAATGATTGGAAGCAGACTTGATATAATATTTCAAAACAGTTCTATTAGCTCTTTGAAAAACATGATAAGATTATAATAACTTACAAATTGAATGTTTTTGTAATTCTATGACCCCTGAAAAGAAAAAAAATCAATTTTGCTCCTACATAACTTGCCAAATAATATATTGAGGCAACCTTTACAACTCAGCTGTAAAATTGTAAAAATGCAATTTATAACGGAAAGACTGACATTGCAAAAGCTATAGTATTGTACAGAAAAGCTACTGTACTCTAAGTGGAACAATGTTTTTTAAAACCTCTCTGTTTAATATTTGTTAGTGTAAATGGCATGAGTGAAAAATGTTGGGAATGTAGGCTCTTTGTACATATTTGAATGAATGTTATCTGCCCACAATTCATTTTGTTCCCAATTTCAATAGTTTATGAAACAAAGGTGAAAATGGAATACAATATGGCAAACTTAAAACTGGGTCATCTTTACAATCTGTAATCCTAAAGTCAGTTTGTTTTTCAATAGTTAAGAGGTACCATGAGATAAACAAATCGGTTGAATAATATTCCCAGCTCTCGCATATTAAAAAAAAATCATGCTGTGCACACAGGTCAGTAACTTCTTTTATAAAAGAGTAGTTCATTTGTTTTGTGTTGCTGTCCTGTTCTGATTGCATAAAGTATGCAACTTCTCATCTTATTTGAAAGTATAGTTTTCATATATGTCTCAGAAATCTAGATCGATGATCTGTTAAGCCAAATCTGGAAGTAAAGGATGCTGATTTTGGTTGCTATAAATGGAAAATTGTAACTGAAAAGTTGTTAATTTCCACTATACATAAATGAGAGAAATTCTACAGTACATAATTCTACAGTACATAAATTAATTCTACTGTACATAAATGAGAGAAAGGTTTGTTCCCTGAACATTCATTTAGGTACATTGACCCAATTTGTACAAGACATACTCAACTCTAAATCTTCAACTGCTTAATTTATGAGTTATTAAATAACACAGTTGGCTAGATTATACAGAAGTCATATTTCCAAACTAAATGCATGCAGTAATTCAGTGTAACATAAGACAAACTAATCCTACCAGCAAGCCTCCATAAATTCCACTCTCCAGAAAACATATGGCATCCCTACCTCAAGAATTAAATTTACATTATTTTCCATCCCCAAAGGCCCTCTGGAAGAGCAAGGACTACATCCCCTCTGAGACATAAGTAGGGATAGAGATTTCTTTATTTCCAGGAGGACTGGCCAGAGTCACTCTGTGATGGAGATGGGAGGTCTCTAAATATGCTACATAGATAAATTAAATAAAAATATTTTCCAGAGAAGTAGAAAACCTTGTCTACTGGATTCCTGATGCAAACATACAAACTTAGGGAGTGGGGGAACTTATAGCTGCCTTCCCTCAACATTTTTGCTGGATGGGCAGATTCCATACAACCCATGTTGTAAGCTATACTGGAATTAAAAAGTAACAACCACCTCCTTGAATCTCACCTGACAGCCTAGTAGCAACCAATGCAGCTCCTGCAGTAAATGGCATCATGTGGGCAGAACAACCTTAGCCCATCACTACCTTGACTGCTGCTACTGAAGAATAAATTAACCAAGGAAATAGCTTGACATAACAAACTGGTTTCAGATTCCTGCTTAGCAAAATGCTTAAGAGTATACAGTAAGTTACAAACAGCTCCTCTGGCCCTGAAAATGCAAACTCAAGAACTAGTTACTGGAAAGAGGATGCCAACTCCTGAATATTGCTCATGGCATGCTGACTACACAAAATAAATGCTAAAAATACCGGGTTGCTCTGGGAGTCAGTTCTATTGCTGTCTTTTTCATGTAAATAAGATCACCATGTAAGCACTTGCCTTGCCCTGTCTTAGTGGACAGAATCTTGTATTCCGTTTCCTGCACAGTTCAATAAAATTGATTCAAGCAGATGATGTGGTCTCCACTTGTCATTTAGATCAGGGTGTTTCCCCCCTTCACTCCAGTTTACATCAGCCACAGTTTCTAAACTGTTTTCATTCAGAGTGAGATGTAGTAGTTCAGACACAAACTAATAAGGCTATACGTGATTATAACAAATCCTTTCATTCAGTAACAGTGTTCAAGATGAAGTTAAGCCAAAGTTCTCCACTTGATCTTCCAGAAGAAGTGTAACACTTTTATATTTTTAATCTTTGGTTCTGGGTAGGATGGTATTTCCTGTGCAGAGCAGATTCACAATCCAGGAGATTGACTGGATCTAAAGCCCCATTAAGATCCTTATAGACCTATCCTGATCATAACAGAACTTAACAGATCTTAACAATAAGAATTTTAGCACATCTTCTGCATTCTCCAGCGTGGATATAACAATTGGATATCTTCAGCTTGGTATTAATATCTGACAACATGCTGGCTTTGTGCAGATATTGACCGTAAGGATTATTGTGGTTGTAATATATTTTTCAATATGGTAGAAATCAAAATAAGCTGTTATTTTGTTCATCATAGCTTTTTATTGTCATCATTATTGGCTTGACTATGAAAAAGAAACTTTAGATATAAATTTAATTCACTTATTAGAATAAGAGACTTTCTTTGTCTCAAAAAGGATAAGATTATAGTCAAGAAACTATTTGTTATATAACATGCACTTAGTGTTTTTTAAGAGCAAAATTCTTGTCACTACAGGTATGTGTGCGCGCACGTGTGTATGTGTATGTGTGTGTGTGTATGTATGTATGTGTTATATAAATATAACAGTATCTCAATGAGCCATGC